CCCAGCATTCGAGACGCTGGACTAAAATCTTGTTTTCAGTGGTATCAAAAGCCGCACTAAGATCTAATAAAATCAGAAAAGAAGGATTTAATGCATCAGCGAATCCCCAAAACACAAACATTGTATTAAATTTTAAGTCATGTTTTGTTGGTGGTGTGAGAAGAGTGTGAGTAATTGCTAATGAGTGCGTCTGCTCTGGTGTTTATACGGGAGGCTGTGAGGGAGCGGCCTGGTCAGGAGTAATACAGGGTTTGAGTTGAACTCCTCAGGCTTTAGTGTGACTCATCCTGCATCGCTGAGCTTTTCCTCCTCAGGCTGTGTGACCTTCTCACACACACCACAGCGACGGTGCGGCAGCCTTGACGCCTCACTTTCTTCCTTTTTTTCTTTTTCAGTGTAGCCACTACTGTTATAGAATCAATCACTGATAAAGTGCTCGACTAAATATTCCTCAACTCCTCTCCCTTTTCCATCACCATCGTTTAAAGTGCAGTGAGATAGTTCGCCCCCTATGCTTCCTGTAGTGCATTACAATCTGTCAGAATGACTGTGTGAATCATATGAATTGCTATAGAGCATTATAGAGCTATTTTTCCCATTAAATGTCAGCAAAAATCCACAATAATATCATCTTTGCTGCTTAATTCTTGCAGACTTTCTTGTGAGTCATGAAAGCGAAGCCTGTTGCTGTTCAGTGCGGCTGCTGTCGGAGCCTCAGTGACATTCAGCTGTCATTGAGAAAGCTGCGAGTTCCTGATCGGCCGCAGCTCGTTTGAGTGAGCGAACATGTTGGAGGTTAAATATAGTATCAGTCTGAGGCTCAGAGACAGACATGAATCAGCTCAGAGTCTCTGTGATGTTTCTGCATATCCCCCCTTTTTTCTCCACACCTTTGATTCACGAATTGAATGCTAATGGAGAGAAACTGAGTGGGATGGCAGCATCTCTCTCTCTCTCTCTCTCTCTCTCTCTCTCTCTCTATCTATCTATCTATCTATCTACAGTGGTGCTTGAAAGTTTGTGAACCCTTTAGAATTTTTATATTTCTGCATAAATTTGACCTAAAACTTCCTAATAATAAAGTCCTAATAGTAGATAAAGAGAACCACATTAAACAAATGAGACAAAAATGTTAGACTTGGTCTATTTATTGAGGAAAGTGATCTAATATTACAGATCTGTCAGTGGCAAAAGTATGTGAACCTTTGCTTTCAGTGTCTGGTGTGACCCCCTTGTGCAGCAATAACTGCAACTAAACGTTTCTGGTAACTGTTGATTAGTCCTGCACATCATCTTGGTGGAGTTTTAGCCCCTCCTTACAAAACAGCTTCAGCTCTGTTATGTTGGTGGGTTTCCTCCCATGAGCTGCTGCTTCAGGTCCTTCCACTACTTTTTTATAGGATTAAGGCCAGGACTTTGACTTGGCCATTCCAAAACATTATTTGTTAGGGTCGTTGTCTTGCTTCATGACCCATGTTCTCTTAAGTTTCAGCTCATGGTCAGATGTCCTGACATTTTCCTTTAGAATTTGCTGGTATAATTCAGAGTTCATTGTTCCATCAATGATGGCACAAAATCCTGGCCCAGATACAGCAAAACAGGCCCAAAGCATGATACTACCACCACCATGTTTCACAGATGGGATAAGGTTTTTATGCTGGAATGCAGTGTTTTAAATCAAGTGTTTTAAGTGTTTTAAATCAAGTTGTGAGTCAGTATAAGTGAATCTGAATTGAGACGCAAGTCAGTAAGGTTGAGTCTGAGTCAAGGCGTGAGTCACAAAGGGCGAGTCTGAATCAAGGTATGAGTCAGTAAGGCTGAGTCCAAATCAAGGTGTGAGTGTGTAAGGGTGAGTCTAAGTCAAGACGTAAGTCAGTAAGGGTGAGTCCATGTCAAAGTGTGAGTCAGTAAGGGTGAGTGTGAATCAAGTTGCGATTCAGTGTAAGTGAGTCTAAATTGAGATGCAAGTCAGTAAGCGTGAGTCTAAGTCAAGGCATGCATCAGTATGGGTGAGCCCAAGTCATGGCATGAGTAAATTAATGACGTGTCCATGTTGAGGCGCAAGTCAGTTGCAGATGAATCTGGGTTAAGGAGTGAGGCAGTCAACATACAACTTGTGTGTGACTCGAGTCTGCATCTCTGGTGTGTTGATTGGCCTTGATTGGCCTTTGTTCTGTCTACCTCGCACATTAAGACTGAGCAAAATAAATGCTGCCCTCTGTTTACTTGGCAACCGCTCATGCTCAATAGTAGCTGAGAATGGAGCTGTTAGTAAGATGATGGCAGTGTGTGTGTGAGTGGGTGTGTGTGTGTGTTTCTGTACCAACAATACACTCCTCGCATGTTTGTAATTATCTCCACAGGAAGAATAACACAATAAAGAGCTGAAACGCCTCGGCTGCGCAACAACGCACAGAACAAAGCATGCGATCAAGTGTGATGGTGGCCTGAGTGGAACCAGTCACTCAAACTGCAGTCACTGTCTTAAAGCAGTCATTGGGTGAAAAGAGGAATTCTTCAAATTTTCAGCGTAATTCAATCACAGATCCAAACAGTCGTTCAGAGCGGTTTGATGTGAAATGCTTCATTACAGAGAAACTTACAGACTCAGATTTCTTTATTTAACACTATTTATCAGTACGTTCTGAGTTCTGATGAAAATATAGTGATAAATCTGAAAGAAATGTATTTTATTCGGGGACTATTTTGCTTCACAACACCCTGCATGCAGCTCTCCACTATGAATGCATTTAGCCAAAAGGCTAATGTCAAAACTACCGTAAAACAATGTCTCAGATATCAAGCAGCAAATTCATAACCATTTCATGTAATAACTCTCAGTGAAGGAGCTTCAGACGTCTGGTTCCTATCACCATCACAGTGAACTATACTGAGTGTGTTTAAATGCACTCAATAATCCAATCACAATCAGTTTTCTGCTGTTGTCCGATTATGGTCATGTAAACAGTACACTGATTTCTTAAAACGGAGTAAGGTCTAGAAATCTGATAACGAAATCTGATAAAAAGAGTTGGATTTTAGCTCAGTAATCAGATTTCTCAGTGCATGTGAACTCTTACTCTGATTTCTTTTGGATTTCTCAGTCTGCACATGTGCAAAAACAGACAGCGGTACTGGAAATAAGTGAGCAGCATCATTGCAAAGCAGCAAAACACTTTTGGAGTGACGCTGACACCGAATATATGCATGACGAAATGAATGATTTAAATATTTTTCATCTTCCAGATGATGTATGTTCATAGTTTCAGACAAAGTGGCGCAAAGCTTTACATTACATTTACATCAGGTTTTATTGTTTGAGTTTATTGGCTGGTTGTAAAGGAAAAATCTGATTACTGTCTGACTCATGTAGACCTGGAGTTTTCACATTATCTTTTTACACAGATGCATGTAAACACATTGATCAGGTTACCAACAAAATCTGATTTTCTGCGGTCATTGGATTTTTAAGTGGTTGTAAACACACTCACTGACTCTAAAATGAAACATTTCACATTAAACCACTCTGAATGACTATTTTTACATTTTATCCATTTGATTATGTGGAAAAATACTTTTCAAGCCAAATATAGTCGATGTTTGGTGTCTTCAGTTCTGCACTGGAGCTAGATCACTCAACAACCTGACATAGTTTGAGACTTCCATTACTTCCAGTCCATCATAAATATTGATTACTTGCTACATTAGCCTCAAAGCTCCAGAGCAAAACTAAAGAAGCAAACTTCAAATGCCAAACATGTCTGTTATCAGTAGTGGTCAGTAGTGGTCAGTTGTCAGAATGATTGCAAATGGACTATTGACCCAGCGTGCTCCCATGACAGTGCTGTTTTTCAATCGTTTATCAAATGCACACTTTCCAACCCAACGTGCCGTCTGGACTGATAAAGAGATAATTCAGCTCTCATCAGTCTTTCATAGATTGAGCCTTCAGGAAACAATGTGCTGGACAGCTCTGAGCCAAAGGCCACAGCATCATGCGCGTGTAGATAAAGCTTTCAGATGCTATATAGACATGTTTATAAGGGCGACTCCTGTTTTAAAGCTGTCTGAAAGGACTGTTAATGAGCAGAGGACATGTATAAAGGAGGGTCTCTGAGCTACCTGAGCGTTTTCTTTTAATAATCAAATATCAAAAGATGTTTTAGAGGTTTAAATAGTGTAACATGATGAATGGTGCTTAATATGCTTAATAAGGTTAAGAAAGGTCTGTTTTGATTTCAAGTTGAATTTAAAACTAATAGAATGATTCGAAAGATTAATAAACAATGACTTCACAGTACCTTTTAAAGCTTTTGTTTTCTGGCAGTAGTCAGACTTCAAATCTGTGTGAGATACTGGATTACAAAGGTAAAGTTATATTCACCCCAAATAGGAATATGGGCAGTCATCCAAGCACTGCTAAATAATTGCTATAAATACTGTGACTAGTGACCTTAGGTCTTAAAGACTAGGCCCCATGTCTTTTTTAGTCAAATGTCCCCTTTGTGGATAGCAAGTTCCACTGTGCTGCCCTTCGACCCTCACTCCGGTCATTACTTTCTCTGAACGGATAAGGACCATGTCTAATCAGCACCCCGTCCATTTTGCTAGCTATCTACTATAAGGCATGGCCATGAATTGTGATTGGTTGGCATGTACTTCATTTTAATAGCATTTAATAACATCTACCACTTTTAAACAAGTACCACGTTTTTAGATATGGTTCAAGCAGATTCGAGAAAATGACTTCAGATTAAATCTTGATATAACTTCTGGGACTTTTCTGCAGCTTCCTTAATGCCCCTCTGCAGCCCCCCCAGGAACTCATGGTTCTGGATTTATGCTTCTGTACCGCCTGCTATTCAGCAGCAACGACAACAGACAGTGATTTAGGCAGGTAGTGTTCTTTATGTGGACCACTTGGGGAGCCCTGAGGACCATGTTGTGAACCACTGCTCTATTTGAAATCTTTCTCCCTCCCCCCCTCTTCTCTTTCCCAGGCGTTCGATGCTTTCATTTATATCTTCTTTGCACTGGAGATGGTGGTGAAGATGGTGGCTCTGGGGATCTTTGGCCGTCGCTGTTACCTTGGCGATACATGGAACAGACTGGACTTTTTCATCGTCATGGCAGGGTAAGGACCGAGTTATCCTTTATCCACACCAACATACAGTCAAATGTCATTTGACCAGGGGTTAGGGTGTGAAATAAGTTAACACACCCTCCACAGAGAACACATACACTGATCAGGCATAACATTATGACCACCTTAAAAACTTCAGCAGCACTGCTGTGTCTGATCTGCTCGTACCAGCACAACACACACTAACACACCACCACCACATCAGTGTTACCGCAGTGCTGAGAATGATCCACCACCCAAATAGTACCTGCTCTGTGAGGGTCCATGGGGGTCCTGACCACTGAAGAACAGATGGACTACAGTCTGTAACTGTAGAACTACAAAGTGCACCTATATAGTAAGTGGAGCTGATCAAACGGACAATGAGCGTAGAAACGAGGAGGTGGTCATAATGTTATGCCTGATCAGTGTATCTGCTCATTTTAACACACATTTATTTGCTGAATTTAAAATATTGGAAAAAATATATATAACAGACATTGCGTCCTGTGCAATAGTTATGCACATATTATGTTTTATCTTTTTTGTTAAACTCTGCAAATATGAAAAATGCAGAAATGCTAGGCTCACTTGGGGAGTTCACTTTACTTCATAAATTACTTTATCGCAGCACATCTATATGTTTATGAAATGGGATAAGAACCTGAAACTTTTCATATACTTGAGGTGGGGCAATATATATGTCAGCTTGATTTGGGCCACAGGCATTACAGAATAGAGAAGGCTTCTTCGAGTGTCTCCATATTCAAGAAAACCTACAAAAACTCCACAGAATATGCTGGAATGAAATAGCATAGCAATTCACACATGATTCATATAAACTGGTTTTATTCCTATAGGTCTTTGTAAAGCACAGGATTAATATAACCCGGGGTAAAGTAATATATGTGTTTTTTCTATGTTTTGTTTGATAGCATATGAATAATATGAGCTGAGTTTATTTTTGTTTTATAGCACGGAATTAATGTAACCTGAGATTATTATTATTATTATTATTATTATTATTATTATTATTATTAATACCAGGCAACAAAGTGGAACTTACTGACAAATCACATATTTATCTGACTGATAATAGATGACTAGATCACTGACTCACTAAGTAAAACCAACTTTGTTTTGACTTTGCGGGTTCACTGGGTTTGCATTATAAAGTGTTTATAATATAATTCACCAAAGTCTTTGCGTTATAAAGGATTTAAAGGAGGAGGAGATCTCCTTTAAAAATGAATCTGAGTGCTCATAATGCTGTAGCACCTGTTTATAGGGGACGCCCTGCCCTTTAATGAGAAGAGCCACTGGCTTGTTAGTAAAACTGTAAGTGTATGGGATCCCCCCTCATGCTGTGTAGATATGCTCAGTATCCAGAACATCCCAAAAAGAAAATCATATTGCAAATTATTTTTCATTTTTGTCAGATTTTACTAGTGTTTTTTTCAAAAGTAAGTGTGTTTCAGGTTTATAGGTCAAAGGGATGGGAGCCGGTCCTGAATAAGTAGCAGTGTGAAATATGGAAATTGATTTTTTGTAAAGGTAAAATAAACTGTGTTTATCAGAGTAGTGAACTACAGCAGTTGTCTCACTAAACTGTTAATAAAATGTCCTGCCTCGCCCCATAACTGATATATAAAAGCATCAAAAAGTGGTGGCGCATCACCTCAATTCTTTAAAAAGTGAAGACTCTAATGCCCACTTGCCCCCATGGTTCCAGGAGCCATGATAACAGAAAAGTTGAGTTCATGCTGAATAACTTGATGATAACCTGAAATAACATGAAGTTACAGTCATAAAAATACCCCACTTTTAGCCTTAGGTCTTAAAGAGTTAATGCCACAAGTGTTCAATGCTTGATTTTCCTTTGTATCATTCTAAATTCTCGATGTTGCCTGTTTTTCCAATTCAGGCATTTACTGGCCCACCAAGTGTCTGTCTGTGCTAGAGAAAGGGCCTGACCCCAAAGAGCTGAACGGTTCCTCTCCAAATCAATCAGCCAGCCAGGCAGAGATCCACTATTTGTCAAGATCAATTTAGAGCAAGGCCTTTCCTGTGTGCTCCTGTTTGACTGGTGGTAAAGAAAGCCATTAGAGTAACAGTTGCTACTCTTGTCCACAGATAGAGAAAGAGTGAGGCCAACCTTGAGCTCCACTCAGATATGATAACTGCAGGACTGACGTAGCCACTGACTCATCAACATAGTCAACTCTGTGCTGTGTGTCCTTGTGATTCTCCCACGCTGGTGTACAGTGTTATTCAATTCAATTGGAAATTATTTGTACAACACTTTCTTCAAAAGATGCTGTCTCAAAGCATCTTGTCCATCTCAGAGGGTAAAATGTATGGAAAAGCTCTAACAGCTTGATGTAGAATCACAGAGAGAAACACTGAGAAGAACCAAGACTCAAAGGAGAAAAGTTCCTAAGAGCATGAGAAAAAAACACTGAGTGGAACTAAGACTCAAAAGGAAGAACTTTGAAGAGGAATTACTAAGAAAAGCCAAAATGAGAAACTCTAAGAACATGAGGAAGAACCATTGAGTGGAACCAAACTCAAAAGGAAAACACCCTAAGAGCACAAGGAAAAAACACTTTGAGGAACCAAGACTCAAAATGAAAAACTCCCTAATAGCATAAGGAAGAACCACGTTGAGGAACCAAGACAAGGAAAAAACTCCCTAGCAGTGTGAGGAAGAACCACGATGAGGAACGAAGACAAGGAAAAAACTCCCTAGCAGTGTGAGGAAGAACCACTTTGAGGAACCAAGACAAGGAAAAACTCCCTAACAGCATGAGGAAGAACCACTTTGAGGAACCAAGACAAGGAAAAACTCCCTAACAGCGTGAGGAAAAACCACTTTGAGGAACCAAGACAAGGAAAAACTCCCTAGCAGTGTGAGGAAGAAACAGTTTGAGGAACCAAGACAAGGAAAAACTCCCTAACAGCGTGAGGAAGAACCACTTTGAGGAACCAAGACAAGGAAAAACTCCCTAGCAGTGTGAGGAAGAAACAGTTTGAGGAACCAAGACAAGGAAAAACTCCCTAAGAACGTGAGGAAGAACTACTTTGAGAAACCAAGACTCAAAAGGAAAAACTCCCTAACAGCGTGAGGAAGAACCACTGAGAAAAACCAAAACTCTGGTAAGAACCAATAGCCGAAGGGGGAAAATTCCCAAGAGTTTAAGGAAGAAACCCTGAAAGGAACTAAAACGCAAAAGGAAAAAAGCTTTTTAAAAAATTGAAGGGGAATCACTGAGAGAAACTAAAACACTTTCAAAATTAGAAACTCTCTAAGAGCATGAGGAAGAACCATTGAGAGGAACCAAGACTCTAAAGGAAAAGCTCCCAAAGAGGCTGATGGTAGATGTAGGACATGGTGGGATGGTACATAACGATGGTGCAGAAGAGGTTCAATATGAAGGCAAGTTTACAGCTTCTGGAAATTTCTGGTTAGAAATTCATGAAAGGATTACATGAAAACGCATTACAAATGATGACAGGAGATCCATAAGGATGTAGTGATAGATTAATTAATAACATCTCGGGGGCACCCAGATGAGGCAGGAGGCTGTATGGCACATGTAGGTGGCTCCAAAATGGACAAGCTTGTCCAGATAGCAGAAGGACCCCCAGCATGAAACCTCCACCAGGACTTTATCATATCAGAAAGCAGGGGGACTTGTACAGTTGGTAACTTCTGTTTTTCTTTTTTGCTACATTGTACTTGTTGTATACCTTTATTATGGGCATCAGACACAACCTCCATTGCATTCTGCTCCCTCTTTCATGCTCCTTCCTCCTTCCATCCCTGCAGCACTGATTAAATGAATGATTAGTCTCATTTAGACATGCTGGGGGTGGCTGGGACTGTGTGGGCTGATGGGTTCTGACAGGGAGCCATAAGTTCAGTGTCTTTCCTCCTGGGGCAGAGACAGCTCCGTCCTGCTGCTTCTCTCTCTCTCGCAATTCAGACTGCATTACCATTTTTGCGGGAACAGGAATGGATGAATGCACCGTGAAAAACATCAAAAAAGAAAGCAAAAGAAATTAGAGCGTTCCATCAAGGTTCCAGAAACCTTTGAGGAACTAAAGAAGTACAGAACCTTCGGGAGGTCTGAAAAATTGCACATTTCCTGAAGGGTGATAACACTGTTCCTGAAGGATTGCCTCACAATTTCTGATGGAGAACGACACAATTCCTAAAGGAGTACCAAACAGTTCTTAAAGGAGAACTAGACAGTTCCTGAAAGAGAGCTATACAGTTCCTTTAGAAGAACCACACAGTTTTTAAAGAAAAACCACAGAGTTCCTGAAAGAAAACTGAGTTTCTTAAGGAGAACCACACCATTCGTGAAGGAGAACCACATAGTTTCTGAAGGAAACCCTCACTGTTCCCAAAAGGGGAACCAAACGGTCCCCAAAGAACCACACAAATCAGTAGGACAACCACACAGTTCCAGAAATAGAGCCTAAAAGTGAACCACGCAGTCCCTAAAAGAGAAACACAGTTCCTAAAGGAGAACCAGGCGGTTTTACGCAGTTCCTACATGAGAACCATACAGTCCCTAAAAGAGAAACACAGTTCCTAAAGGAGAACCAGACAGTTTAAAACACTCATTCTCTGGTGGAAATGACCTAACAACGTTTTTTAAAAAAGTTCCAGGAATCTTAAAAAAGTTCCCAAGTCCCTGAAAAAGTTCCTGAATTTCTGAAAAAGGTCCTGGTTCCTGAAAAATTCCTTGAGTTCCTGAAAATGTCCCTACGTGTCTAATTCTTGAATATGTTCCTGCATTCCTTAAAAAGTTAATAATTCTAGAAAAAGTTCCTGAAAAGTTTCTTGAGTTCCTTAAAAAGTTACTCATTTTAGTTTCCTAAGTTTAGTTTTAATTTAATTTCCTGAGTTTGCTTGTAACCTTATGCTAGTAACTGTAAGATGACATAAGATGTTCTATGAAGTAAATGACATTGCGTTGACATAAGGGACCTTAAACTAAAGC